TTGAGTTCATTACACAATACTACTTATACAATATTATACAATAATACTGTTCCAGCTTACATACAAATTCAACTTAAGGACAGATTCTGGGAACAGAACTTGCTCTTAACTGGGACTACTTGTACTTCTCCAGTCATCATCCAAATCTCTACTTCTGATCTTGCAACTTGGGCTACATTCATGTAATAACTTTTACCCAGGTCAGGTTAAAAATATAATGTATGCATTTACACAACATGTGCTTAGCTATTGGTAACCTTGATTAGCTACTTTGGGAGAATGTGTGTGTGCACGTAGTTTAGGATGTGGTGTGCACCCAGCCTGTTTGGTTATTTGGCAATGCAATACATTGTACAAATCCAGAAAATGATTTAATTTAGTACGCAGATTCAGTACGCTGTGTGAATGCAGACACTATGAATCATAGTGGGCAGCTGCAGTCAGTGTCAGATGGTTGGCAAAGTGATTGTTTAAAATCTCCTTTAGATGAATATTTTCCTGATTTGTTTTAATTTTTTCTTTTTTTAACTTTAGGCTCTAGAAATCATTGTTAGTAGTGGTTTCATAAATTAGGATTATATTTCCCTTATTAGAATAACGTTATGTATGTGACTTTTAAATGTGTTAAGGTACCTGGATTCTCCCTGGAAATAAGGTGGGATGTAAGGCATTTAAAACAAACAAATAGGGGAAGGGATTATTCTAGTCTCATACCAATTTACTGGAGGTCCATAAGTAGTAATTATATATTTTCAATTTGCTTGGGTTCGTCCTGAAGGTAGTGGGATATGTAGCCCATGCCATCCATCTGCCTGAATTCAACACCTTCCAATTCAGAGTGTGCGTGTTTGGAGATTCCTTTGTTTTCCAGGCAGTAGCCATTGAAATGTCTATATATTTTTTAATAACTACTGATCTCCTTATAAGCATTAGGGTCTGCTTAAGACTCCAGGCTGCACAGTTAAGAAGTAAATTGTTTCACTCGTTGGGTCTGATCTTTTGTATAGTCATTGTGTCAATAATCCAAACCCTTTAGGGAGAGCCAATTTATATCTGCCTTCTATAAGCACACAACAAGTGCTAATGAGTCTTAGTTGCTGAAGGCTGCTATGCAGTCCAGTCCCCTGAGTAAGTCATTAGTAAAGCTAGATGGCAACTGTACTTAGCTCTGCCTCTCCCACTGAAATGGAGGACAGCCAAGTCTAGGTAAGGAAATGAGGGATAGACAAATATATGTGAGGTCATACTGTGGTGAGTGGGAAGCAATTGCTGGCAACACCTAGGGCAATAATTTTAGTATCAGGAGATCAGCAAGGATGGTGCTGTGTCATTCAAAAATGGCTACCTGTATAAATGTTCACCATTAACTTGGAATATCTACCCTGTAGGCATTATCATCATGCACTGCCTAGAATTTGATATACTGGTGGAATATAAGTGCTGGAAATAAAAGAGATGTATCAAGGTCTAGGCCTCCTTGATTTCTACAGGCAGGCATATTATATGGGGAATATGCCCTTGCAAAGCCCTCTGGAAAACTTAGGTATTTTCCACTAGGCTGATTTTGCTTTCTCTTGATGTTAGTGAGGTAATCCTGCCTCTGCTCTCTGGGCTATCACTGCATGTTGTTTTCTCTTGTTGCAGAGGAGGTGGCAGAAGGGAAGAATGCCATCCTTCTGGGGATGAGCCAGTGGAACTCCAATGACTTGGTGGAGCAGATCGAGACAATAGGAAAGCTGGATGAAAATCAAGGTACAATTTTGATTTAATCTCTGTCCAAATGAATTAGTGCTATCTGGGTTCATATTATGTAGTGTGCCAAAATTTGGGACTGATATACAACAACCCTGTCCACAGCCTATGATCAGATGGCCCATATCATCTGGCAAGAATATTTTTGGTGGTCTTCTGAAAAGAACAGGAGAACCTTACAGAGCAAAAACTTCAGCCATGAGCTACCCTCTTTCCCTTGGAACTACTAGCAGGACCCCATTCTGAGGAACAAGGGCATGTACACACTAGGAGAGGAAATGGCTAGCTCAGGCATGCCTTTCCACTCATGTCTATATTAGATTATATTGCCAATGGGCATAACTTAACCTAAGTCTGAGGAAAACCGAGGGAGAGGGAGAGGGATCTACTCATGGTTCTGATTTTAATGAGGCTTAGAGACAGATTGATCAGATATGTGGAAACTCATTGTCAGTCCTGCCCAAAATGTCAGTATATGAAAATCAAGGGAAAACAAGATGAGACATCCATGGAAAGAATTCCTTTGGTCCCTCTCCCATTTTCTAGAATTGCACTGTATATAGCTAGTTCCATGCTAAGGTCAGCAAAAAGAAATCAGTATATCCTTGTGATTTGCAATTATTCCACAAGATATTCAGAAGCAGTTCCCTTGTGCACAGTCATAGCAATAGTTGTTGCCAGTGAATTGCTTAAACTGTTCAGTAAGGTAGGGATCACTAATGAGATTCTCATAGATCAGGCCCCAGATTTCCACTCTGTTTTGTTAAAGCATTTATATTCAGTCTTGGGGGTATCCAGGGTGAGAACATCTCCATGTCACCCTGAAACAGATGGATCAACTATGAGATTAACTGGCTCTTCATGTATCCATGCAGACAAACAAAGTGGTTTACACACTTTGCTGATAAGGAATTGAGAGTAGGTGTTAGTTTAGATTTTAATAGGAAACAATTCTCATAGGAGAAGGAGGGCTGAAGGCAGCAAAGGGAAAACTCTTGAAAACAGGAGGACTATGAGAAGAAGAAGCTTGGAAATGTATGGCTGGCAGCTGCAATGGCTAACTTGGACTTAGACAGTTCTAGTTGCTGTTAGTTTCAGACCAGAAAAAGAGAGTCTAAAATGGATTAGGCAGTGTTTGCAATGCTGAAAATCATTTGGTCGTGAGTGGTCCAAAATCCACAAAGCATTCAAGGGCACAGTCTGGGGAAAGAGTGCTAAAGAATAAGAGGACTAGCACAGGGCCTTATCTGTTCATTGCAGAGGGCCCTTGATGGGATTGAAGATGAAGTAAGAAAAAAGATCAAGTGTTTCTTGTCACAGGATCATGTGCTAGATCAAGGTCCATTTTCAGTTCATGGCACTGAACCAGAAAAAGAAGAAATCTTGCCACTAACACCTATAAGCCCTTTCTTAATTCTAGAATTAGGAAGAGAAGGTAGGTGTAGAATTAAAATAGAGCACATGTATGGTAAGCCTGTATAATTTGCACATATAGATATGATTAGCATTGACTAGAGCTTAAAGTTGGAGTTCAGAAAAAAAATGTTCTTGTACTTTTGAAATTTTCTCTCATAGGAGAAGGGGGGGAGGGGGGGAGGGGGGGAGAAGTCTGGAGTGGTTTTCACAGTTTGCTGCCAATCAGTCACAAAGATAAAAACCAACTTCCCTAATAGCTCCACTTCTGCTAATAATGCTTATACAAGACACCACCTAAGACTAGTATCTCAGACATATCTGAGTGTCTCTGGCTCATTGACCCCTCTTTTGGCTGTAAATCCCTCAACCTATCCCATGCATTCTTGCATACAACACAGTCAGATAGCAGTAAGTAAAACCTTTCTCTTACAATACTTTGGTGCAATTTTAAAAGATGAGAGACAACGAATGCATTTTTCTTGCTTTACTGAAAGAATTTTGCAAAGTATATATGATGAGCACACAACTTATAAGAAATAGGAAATAGCAAGGAAAATTGCAAGCATAAGAATATGCCTGGATGCAGATAATAAGAGTCAGATGGCCACTCTGCTCTGCACCTGATACCTTCAGGCTGGCTGGGAAAGATTGAAGCAGTGATAGAGGAAGAAGTAAGGAAGCACTGGACATCTGTTTTGAGAGGGCAAAATATGTGTTAGGAAATAGATGGTAAAGACCTTCTGCAAACCAATAGTAAGGTTTTTATAGTATTGTTTTAATTTGTTGTTTGCCACCCAAACAATTCAAACACATTGAATTAATTGATAAATAATAAAGTCCTCAAGAGTCCTCATTGCCTTCAAACTTCTTGGTGCTGATTGGTTCTGGTCCATCCTCACTTTGGTTGTTCAGCTAATTCAAATTAGAGCCCCATCCCTTAATCCATTTTAGGATTGGCTCCTTCAAACAATGTTTCAACTTTTGGACCTCTGTAATTAGCAAAAGAGGATGCCCCACCTTGGCATTCCAAGTGTCAGTGCCCTCTTGACTTCACCCCAGTAGATCCCTTACTTATATTACCCAGGGTCCTTATCTCCAGGATATAGTATCCCCAGCATATTTATGTTCATGAGAAGGACACAAATGTGAACACAACACATTGTAGTTGGAGTCTTTTCCATAAAACCACTGTGGTGATAACATTCAACCAGTGTTGCATGCTATGATTCAGTATTCAGCAGAGATAATACGAAGCTAATCAATACAAGCTTCATTCTAGCACCAAGGAAAGAAATATACATCAAATACCATACAGGTACAGTCAGTATTGTAAGCCTAATCCAGAATCAGAGAAGGAGCAAAAGAAAAATACATCAAATATTGTTCAGACATAAACAATATTGTAGGCCTAATACAGTACTACCAAAGCAGTATATATCAAATATAACCAGGCTCATCAGGTGAAACTGTTCACATTGTTATAAAGAGCAATTAGAAACTATAAATCATATTTGCAAAGCATAGCTGGAAACAAAACTTTTATTCCTGCTGTGTTGTATCATTAGTTTAAACAAAAAGGGGAAAAACTATAACACAGTTTTGCGCTGTGTCTTTCAGTCAAATCCTTCAAACCTTTAAACATCCCTTGTGCAATTTTTCTGCTTAATGTTTTAGTTATTTGAAAATATGAGGTTAGGAAAAAAAATTGACAAAAGAAAAAAATATATAGGATAGTAAGAATATAAATTTATGTCTGAATTGACATATTTTTAAACTATTTATTTTTTAAATTGTCCCATTTTTCATCTTTTCAAAATTTCCAGTCTGCATAAACCTGTAGAAATGTGTGCAAATTGGTTGGGAGCAGTTTTAAGAAAATGTTGAGGAACAGTACCAAATAGTATGTTTTTCCACTAAGGTTATCACATACTTCTTTAATGCTTCTTCAAAGCACCCAGCTAACCACAGTTTGAGGCAAATATAAATTATACCATGCCTCTTATTTGTTCAGTCTGCTTTTTCCTGCACCCTTTTCTATTCTTGAAATAGAAGGCAGAACTGTGTCCTTCCTTAAAGGACTTGTTATTCTTCTCAAAGGTGCCCATCTCCAATAAACCTTTTTGAAGTAGCTATGGGTAGAATGAGAAAAGGCTTAGTTATCTTGTGCAACTATATACACATGTATATCTTTACATTAATTTGTTGGAAGAATCAAGTTACTTGCTGAAGTTACATTACATAAATGTCACTGTTATGTTTATAAGTAGACTGGTATATATTACCATATTTGGTGGTAAAGCCCAGATAGTAATTCGTCTTGAAAAGTTTTTTAAATTTTTTATTTTTATTTATTTAATTAATGAAATGAAACTGCACACATACACATATATAACAACAACAACAACAAAAAGAAGAGAAAAAATGCAAAACTTTTGAATATTTTTTATGGAAATTGGAAAAAACACCGAACAATCTTTGCTCAGGAGTCCTGTGTTTAGTTTTTCCTAAACTGAAGCAACATGAAGAATTAAATCAGTTCTTGAAAACAGTTGGGTTTACTATTGTAGAGCACTAGAAAACTATGGTCCATGCTTCTGTGGTTCAATGGCACTTAAAAATTTGGGAAATTGCTTTGATTGAAAAGTTTATGTAACAGCAAATTGCTTTGAAAAAATCCACAATTAGATTTATTAAAATACACTGTTTTTTAGCTAAGTTAACCTTGATCCTAACAAATTACCCTTGTCTGTACAAAGGTTCTGGATAAAATGCTTATTTACGAATCTGTATTTTTTGTTTACTTTTGTTTTATTTTTTTTGCTTATCATTTGATTTTTGATTTTTGATTTCTTAGTTTTTGTCTTGGTGATTTACTTAATTGATTTTTTGAAAAGTTGATATTCTGTGCACAGGTAGATATTTGAATTTTTTTCTACTCCAGTGGTAAGCTGAGTGATGCAGTGACCAAATAGCCAAACAGTGTTTCGAAGACAGCAAAATAGATAATTAGTGGGTGGGGTTTGAGGGAGTGTAACATGTTTTACATCTGCTCTTGACAGTGATATGAAGGGCTGCCTTGTGGTTCCCTACTAATTTATTTCAATCAACGGCCGATGATTCAGGGGGAGTTGAGAAAGATGCTGTCTGCATTTTGAGCATTGCTTCTCTTGACAGTGAGTAGGAAAATGCATTTAATCTGGCAATGAGCTGAACCATTCTATGGGAAATGAATAGATGGTTCTGAAAGGGAATTTTACATCTGATTTCTCTGAAGAATCTTAAGTTGTGTAATTTCAGTGTAAGTTCCATGGGGCATAAAACAATATTTTTAATTGATTTTTCACATTCTGTGACCCATAAATCTTGTTGCCTTTGGTTTATCAAAGCTTATCTGGAATTTTCATGACTGGTTCTTCCTTGCTGGGGATGACAATATGTTAAAATATAATTAGCTGCAGTTTTATTGAACTGCTTGTAATTCATAAATTTTCCTTTCCAGTTTTCTATGTTTATAATGTGGAATGAAGAGCCAGTTTGGTGTAGTGGTTAAGGCACCAGACTAGAAACCAGGAGACGGTGAGTTC